AAGATGACATGTGGAACATTGTGTAATGGTTTCAGCTCCTTACAAACGTTAAAACAAAAAACTTGGCGATCAAAAAGAGTGGCTTGATTTGAGAACTGGCAGTAAATATAAAATTAGAAGCATTTAATGTATATTTCTTTTTTGACGTTCGTAAGTGTACGTTGTGTTACCTATATGAATAAATGATTTTTGACTTTGACTTCTTTTCTTTTCTTTTAATTTTTCTTCCTTCAATTTTAACAGAGTTTTTAAAACAATATCTATTTTATTACTTGGTAATAGGGAGAAATCTTTTTTGTGTACATCTTATATTATTAATGTAGGTTGAACAATTGTATATTTCTGACACGTTTCTAGTAGAATTTATCGTATGAGAATTTGAAATGAATTCGTGTATCGCTGGCAGAGATCGCCAGCAACAAATTGCGGTTGGGCTAGATAAAAAAGGTCCGTCATTTTGCTAAACGAGTGACGGAGGGCTGGCCAAAGGATCCCCGCGGTGCGAATACGGGATGTCTTGAAAAACTGATACTGCTGTCAATTTCATTCGTGAAGGTTTTACTCGAAACCTTTTTCGATAAAGAAAGGTTTTACAACGCGTTATATGTCCTTGAGCTTTCTTTGGAAAGTTTTTCCCTATCAGTTGTAAACGCTTTCATATATGTACCGCCGAAATGTTTTGGTAACAGAAACGCTTTGAACTCTGACTAAAATGATAAATGGGTAGTTTAGAAATATCATACTAATCCTTAAGAGACTCTCTGATCTGAGCTGGTGCGCTCGAACCACCAAATCAATGAAGGAAATGCCCAGCATGTCTTAGGGTAAGATTCATAAATATAAGTAATTCAGATGGTGTTGATATTCGAGTCATAGTTCGACTTAAGTCAGTTTTCTCATAACGTAAGTCTAAGCGTAAGATCCAAAAACAAAAACCTATCGCGTTGATCAGCTTGTCTACAGAAATGTTAATAAAGTTCCCATGTCCGACAAGGATGAAGCGAGAGAGGTATGTCAGTACCGTAGCAAGTGGAGTGGTGGTCTCTGCTCTTCGAAAAAAAGAATAACAATTATCAATATATTAAACTACAAAAAAGTATGCATTCAGCCGTCTGCCGGACTGATTTGTGAAACTACAACCAGGGCTCCACCCAAACACATACAAAAAAAACATTCAAATCGGTGCAGCCGTTTAAGAGGAGTTCAGTGACATACACACGTACAGTATAATTGTATATATGTAAGCTATCTTATCTTTTAAGTTAGATCAAAGAGACTGACAGAGCAGACTCGGCCAAGCTTTGCAGTGGCTAAGTTTTTTGTTACATTACATAGTAGGAAACTATTGAAGGGTAACGGTAGGAGAACACCAGTCATGGGGACCACCATGCTTTTTTGGTGGATATTCCATTAAATTATAGCTTATGTGAAACGTTGGTACTTTCAACACAGCGCCATCTGCGTCAAATAATAAACAAATAATTTGCAATTAAATAATATTGCGGCTATAAATTAAGATGTAAGCTATTCTATCTTTTAAGTTGGATCAAACTACACACGGTGTGCAAATTTAATTGATATCGGTTCGGTAGTTTAGGAATCCATAGCGGACAAACAACGTGACACGTAATTTTTTAAGATATTATAATAATTTATCAGATAAATAAATAGATGACTTTGATTACGATGGCAATACTTATAATAAAGGCGGGCCGTTTGTGACTAATAACCTACTACTATGTCTACCGAAAATCAATAAATCACATCGTGAAGATCGTTCTTAAAGAATACTATACTTGGATGTTTGAACTGTGACATTTATTACTTGTGCGTCAACGAGTAATGAAAAAGTCATTTGTACATAATGTAGCTTATAAGCGAGGTTTGAGCTATGACGTGCGAAGCTTAATATATTTATTTATTCACTTCGTTGCATTAAAATAATAAAAATTGAACATAATTAAATGAAAAGGAAGGGCAATTGGCGGCCTTATTATCGCTTTCGAGCGATCTCATCCAGGCTACCAAAAATACATAATACATATAGTTAAATTTTTTTAAGACAAAACTAAACAGGAACAAAAAAAACTAAACATAAAAAGGATACATTAAAAAGTTAGAATTTAAAAAAAATTTAGTAGTACGAAAGTTGTGGATAGGTTATGTTTGTTCAGTAGAAATTTTATTGCAATTTAAAACTAAGAGTACAATATTAGCACGTGTGTAGATGATAAGCGCCTTTAATTTCGTCATATATTCGTCCTATAAAAACTAGTTAATATATAATATTATGTATCTATAAGTATTATATGGTATGTTTGTGTCTATTAATTTAAATTTTACGAAATGTTTACATCGAATCATTCAATCATTAATCAATAAAATTGGACATCTTGGAAATCTCTAAAAACCTACTACTTACAGAAGACAGAGCTTGATTAATATATTAAAACGACTATGTTGGTAAAAGCACCGACTAAAAAGAGCTCAATACATCTTCCAGAAATTTAATTTCCATTGCGGAGGTCGTTTGTGCGGTTGGCATTGTTATTTGTTATACTTTTTACTTTCATTGTAGCCTATTTTCTTTTTAAAATAACGAACTTTATTTCACCTTGACTCGTATCATGGCCGTACTGCAAATACGACTCTTTTATTTGACGTAAATGAAAGTTTTGTGAAGCAGAAAATGTTTTATTGACAAGCCACTCCCAATCTCTGTAGTAGCAATAATATAGTCAAGGCTTTGAAGCGGAGATTCACCTTAGGAGGATTATGATTTATGAGTAACGATTTATTGAATAGCACTGTATACTGATACTTAAGCACTGAGCCATGGTTTATCTTAGGTTTAAACCTTTGGATTTTTATATGCGAAGCAATTTCCGCTGAAGCCAGTATGTAAAGATATATGTAAATCAGGCTGATTTTAAATAAAATTTGATAAATGGGATAAATAATTTTTTAAAGGCAAGGTCCCTTTATAGTGTGGTAGAGTATTTAAACCATAAGTTTTGTCAACAATTGTAAATATCTTAACTGTTCTTTTTATTATAACATAGTAATAATTTGATAAAGAATTAGTCTAGCTATTCAAAGGAGGAACGCTGACAGTATCTTCGAAACCTTGCTTAAAGGGACTCCTTTATATGTATGATACGCTTTTTTGCCGACCCGATACCGATACCGATACTCTTAAAGAAATATCGTCGATAACGATACCAATACCAACGCTTATTGAATTAAAATTAAATAAAGATAAAATATATCAAGTTTAGTTAATAATTTTAATTAAAAAAATATGAATATAATATAGTCACAAAAATTGAATTATATTAAAGGTTTGGTTACTAAAATTAATAATTAAGAGTAATAATTAAATTAAAATAAAATAAATAACTGTTAATAATTAAAATTAACAATAATTATAACATTGCATGTCTATTTTCATATGGCTGAATTCGGTTCTTTTAATAAATAATCAATGAGAATGTACCACTTTCTTAGCAAATAAACGATGTATTATTTATTATTATTATAAAAGCAACACGTGCAACCCGAGGCCATAATTTGCTTTAGTGTCAATCTTATTATTAATAAAGACAGATATAATACAAGAAAATAATAAAAATACTTGTTCAAGAAATACTGTACTAAGGACCTCTGCAGTGATAGATAGAAGGACTTCCGGTTCTGATAAGGCCTTATTTAAATGCATATTTATCAGGAACGGGCGTAGTATGTAATATATGATAATCTGATAGAGATATTCTGATATAGACGTTTTCCATTAAATAGCAAATTACTTTTGCAATGGTATTGTTTAGAAATATATTAAAAGATTAACTTCTCATATATACACTTTAAGATATGTATAATAAGTCCGTAACTTTGATAAGACACAAACTTTTGTGTCTGTTTAAGTAAGTGAAGAGCTTTCTGTGTATTGTGCGTCCGTTTTGTTTCCTCATAATGTCATAAGTGCAAGTCTTTGCGGACTTAAAAAAAAAACCAAACATTCGTGCACAGCCGATGTTTAAGCTGGTGAAGAATCGAACACTTACTAGGTGAACACTCATCTATATAGGGAATAAGTGTCAAATTGGATAGACAAAAGTCCTTAGGCTAAAAGAAAACGGGTCCGACACGACATCGCGCCGCCAACGCGCCTGCAATTTACAGCCACAATAAAAGTATCGCTTTTATTGTCGAGCGCACAATTCGCTCGGACAGCTGTAATTGCGAACTCTCGTTCTGTCTATTGGATCCTCAATTTAGCTCGTAGTATTTTAACATTGCGCCGAGATACATCTGGAATGCAGTGTATATAGACGGTAGACGGCAAAGATTCACTTAGCCCGCTTTTTCATTATTTCATAGTTCGTAAATTTATTGAAACATTCACAGGAAATGAGACTCGGACTATTATTTCAGTCATTCAGTTGTGTTCTTATTAAACGAGGATAGTTTTAGTTCTATTATGGGTTAAATTAAACGAAGAGATAAAAGAAAATATGTTAGCACAATTGGTTAGCAAAAAGGAAATTGCCTTTCTATCTTTGAAAACAGATCTCGGACACATCCATCAATAGAACTACGACATTTACTGTTTCATTTAAATAAAAATGTGGAGCAGAGATCGTTATTACCGATAAAATTCCTCCCTGCTTTGTGGCATTCCGACTGCAGAACAAAGGCCGCTGTCACACTAATTGGGTACTAAATCTATAGTCTCTTATTAAGCGTTCATTTTCATTGCTCCTTTCCAAGCCTAATGAACGAAATAAAGCCATTTACTGGCAATCTAATTACACTTTTTTGTAAACATTTCGCACCTTATTGAAGTTAAACCTTCAGTCATCAAAGGGAGAAATAAAACGTTCAAGCCGACTTCAAAATTTATTTCAACTTTTAAAAGGATGACTATGATTATCACTTTACTTAAAAACAATTCAATTTTGATCAGTTCCTTTGACTATATTTACAAAATTATATTTATATTAATTGCGATAAAGTAACGTCGTTAACCATTCCGGTCGAGACTGTTGGGGCTTATATTCGGGTGGACTGAGAGCAAGAGGAGATGCAGGATCAGTCAATGCTACTGAAGAAGAAGTTTCAGTTACTGCTATACTTGGTTTTCCCTTGAGAATAGACCTCAATTCTTCATTTTCTACTGCTCTGGTTCTTTGCAAGTTCTCTCTGGTCTCTTTCATTCTAGATAATTGTTCCCTTAGAGTTCTGTACTCTTCTAAAAATCTTTCAAGTTGAGACGCTCGAAAATCAAAGTCTTCGAAGGGAGGACTCGTTTGGGTATAATCTCGTAGCCCTGAGAGGTCTAAAAGTGGAGTGGCGGACGGAACTGTCAACGGCTCCCTGTTGGGTGACGCTGGCAAACTTGGATTTCGTCGTAATCGACTTCCGCCGCTAGATAGATCTAAAAAACTATTTGACCTACCAGATGGTTTTTGTCGATTTTTATCAATTCTATCAAGATATGTTACTGAATCGCCACCAGAACTGTTTCTACGACTACTCAGAAGCGGGCTCCGACTATCTCCATCTTTTCTTCTCGGGATTGTATAAAAATAATATGGATCGTGTTTTGTATCACGCAAATATGAACTTGTACCTAATGCACTCATCTCTATAAGATCAGGGTAATTTTTCTCGCTATCGCTCCCAGAAAGATCGTTATCCAGGCGTTCACGTATTCGAGGCTGGGGACACGATCGAGCGTTGTTGTTAAATCGGCTATTTTCTGATAACATCTCGACGCGACCACTTAAAAGGCCCGTCGACTTGGAGTTTTGCATGGCTTCGACGTTTTTCTGTGATCTGAAAAAAAATATGAATGAATAAAAGACTCAATAAATGCCCTGACATAGATGAACTGATGAATTTTTCTCTTCATAGATTAAATAGAAAGTAATTAATATTAAAAAGAACATTTTACGTAAGTATAGAACCTGAACAATTTAATAAGTTGGAGCACAGTAACATAATCCTTAGCCTTTTCTTTGTCTATATTTTGTGTTAATAGCAAAATTATAAGATGATATTCATTTTAATATAATTTCCCTAAGCTTTTACTTTATTTGAAATGTATTACAGGTTCTGAATGTAAAATGGGTAATACCTCATGAATTGAATTACGTTAGTAACCAAATACCTTATTTCTATGATTTTACAGAAATTGAGATTAAATTATTTAATCATTTAATTGGTTAGTTGCAAATTTATTTTCTGTGAAAAGTGTCCAAGTTTTTGTCACCAAGAATAATGATCAAAAGAGCAGTTTACGGACTAAGTTTTAAACCAATTCTATGAAATTATTTAAAGTAAAAGTGATAAAGAGTATCATTGATTTTTCTCGTATTTACAATATTGGTAAGGATCAAAATGAAAAATGGTATAAGTAATTAGGTGCTATACCTACCTTGTCGCATACTGGCTCAGGCGAGGTATATGTAGATCTTGAACAACTTCAGCAGATCTTGACCCAGCTACTTCGAATTCACTTCGACGAAAAGTTTTAGCCATAGCTGGTGAAGTCACTTCTCTCTCTTCACCTCGACCTTCTCCTTTTCTATAACCATCATACTCTTCTTCTGGGTCATGGGAAGGAACGTTTCTATAATCACCTCTCTTTCTATTCTCTATTGGAGTGGATCGAGATAGTTCTACATTATTTTTTACATTAGCTTCAATTTTTTCATAATTATTTTCATTATGATTTGATGTCACTATTTGTTCATTCCACCTATCTATTTGTCTCTTTTTACGAGTTTCATAAATACACAGTCCTACTAAACACGAACTTAAAACTATCACTGCTGATACAGCCATTCCGGCCATTAAAGCCCGACCCCCGAAACCCTTTACGGGTATTTTTCTGTCAATAATTAGATTTAAAATAACTTCTACTTTTCCTGCTCGATTCTCAGCATTACATGTATATAGTCCTGAATCTTGTACATCTGACGATTTTATAATTAAAGTGCTAGTTTGACCTTCACTTCGCAATAAGAATGCTCTTCCGGAATTTGCATTAGTACTATTAGCAAGTAGCCGCCCTGAACGTAGCCATCGAACTCTTGGTGCCGGTATGCCGGTCACTTTGCATGCCAGTATTACTTCTTCACCTTCTACTCCTTTTATATTGCTAGACGATGTAGTTACTTCAGGAAGACAAGCAAAGTCCTCTAGGTCTAAGCGATCCCATGAATGTTGAAGAAGGCGCGGTGGTAGTGCACACTCTGGCACGACGGTTGCAGGAACATTTTTTCTTATCATCCAGTCCCTCAGTGGTCTCAACACACAATTACAATCCCATGGATTATTTGCCAGCTCTAAACCCTTGAGTGACCTCAAAGGTGCTAAGACTGCGACGTGAAGTACTTGAAGTTTATTTTTACTTAGCTCTAAATACTCCAACGAAGCTTCTAAACCGATAAAGCCTTTTGGCTCAATTTCAGATATTTTACAAGATATAAGACTTAGTCTCACTAAATGCGGTAAAGTTGAAAAGGCTTCATCTTTAATTTTCGTGATAGGATTTCCGCTGAGTCGAAGCTCTCGAAGTTCTCGAATTGAATCAAAGGCGTGCGACGGAATGGATTCTAGTCGATTCCGAGACAGGTCCAGTTCTACAAGATTTACTAGAGCGCGAAACGCGTATTGTTTAATACTTCGTATATTGCACGCGGGAAGGTATAAACGTTGAAGATTAAGAAGTCCAGCTGAGGCAAAAGCGTCATCACGAAGAGTTGTCAGTCGATTCTCGGCTAAATCTAGTAGTTGTGTGGTGGGGTCTAGGCGCGGTGGGACTGCGTTTAGTCCAGCTCTGGCGCATAGTGCCGATTCTTTTCCACTGCGCCATTTACACTCGCAGTGACGTGGACACTCGGCACTGACGGCTGCCGCCAAAGCCAGCATCACGAATACCCACATCCCCCGCGCCAGGTCAACCCGCGCCGCGCTTTTCGTCTTCACCGCCGCGCGTCATCCCCTAATCGGCCGCAAACCTATAACAATATTTTTTTTCTTTATACCTATTACAGTAAAAAAACAAACCGACCACTGAGCTAAAAATATTTTATTCGGAAGATAAAAAAATTACTCTTAATCAGTTAATGTATGCGAAAAATATTATTACGTAATAATTTTACCTCAAATTTTCAGGAAGTAAGAAACTCCAATAGATCTCGATATCTGTAAAGATACAAAAGAAGATAAGAATCATATTTACTTAGACTGAAAAGTAAATTAAAAGAAAACTAGAATAGATAAATCTTTGAAATTTATAAAAAACATATTTTTATATAGGTACATAAAAGTTATAATCTCAGTAGTTTCATGACTTATAATGTGAGATAGAGATTGATCCATGTAGAACGTGCTACTCTTAACTGTAAGGACGTGCGTTTAAATCCCTGTGTATTAATCTATTTTCTTGCTATGGACCAACTTCCACGGTGAAGGGAAACATCGTGAGGAAATGGCATAATCTCAAGAATCGTCGACATGTGTCGACAGATTATAAACAAAATATTATAGAAACAAGCAATCCGGCCAAAACCTATATTAGTAAGCATTACAAAAAGCATAAACAGTTGTGAATGTAATTGAATATCATAAGTACACATTACTTAAATAATAAGTCATTGTTTTAAATGATTAAATCGTTAGTTGATATAAAAAACAGATCTCACGTAGTCACTTAGGTTACAGCAGGTACCAGGATTTACATAATGTCTACAACGTGAATTTCTAAATGTCTACCCGGTTTACTAACAAATCCTCTATACGCTTAGGGATTTCAAATCTTTCTTACCGACTCTGTTAACGTAATAGCTAACAGAGCGCGCTATTTATTTTATGAAGAAATGTTAGTTTTAGCTAGTGAACTGGAAAAACAACTAAAAGTCTAAATAAACATTTAGTTTATACTATGCTTTAGTGTTTATTTACTTTTTAATTTTTTAAACAATTTTGAGTGTTGCCCTAGTGGCTTCTTCAGCGTGCAATCTCATCCTTGAGGTCGTAGGTTCGATCCCCGGCTGTGCACCAATGTACTTTGCTCGACGGCGTATGTCAAGCACAGGAGACAGATCACCTACTTGACTATTAGATTGACAAATGATCATGAAACAGATACAGAAATCTGAGGCCCAGACCTGAAAAGGTGGTAGCGTCACTAGTTTGTTATGTTTTACGTCGAGTTTGCTTTTATGACTTATTTCAAACTAGGAAGGAGATTGAAACGACTATTTCTTGTGTGTATAATTTTAGTGAACTGTATAAAACAATTAAAAAAATATTTTTTTACATAGGTATATAGTTCGATCGTAATTATATATACATATGTCCAACTTATAACAATTATTTAGCTCACAACTCTTTGTTGTGGATAGAGCTAGGTATACAAGAAAAACAACAAAAAAATTTACAAGCTGAGGGAGAGTCTGAGGCAGCAGAAATGTTGGGTAAAGCAATGGGAATGAGTCCAGGTTACCTTAAGTTACGTAAAATCAGAGCGGCCCAGAGCATTTCCAGAATGATTGCTCAATCACAAAATAGGGTATTCTTACCAGGTAATAGCTTAATGATCAACGTCCAAGAAACTTCCTTTGATGACCTGTCCGAGAAACTGACTAAGAAGAAGTAACAGGAAGCCATGGAACAGTATGTCTATAAGCTTAAACCAATGCCTACTCTTCTACCAAATGAAGCCTATTTAATAAGCAGTGCTTCTTCAATTACTATATAAACAAAGTTATGTCAATTTCATTAACTTGCATTTTTTGTTACTTAGGTGTAGATAATATAGTTGTGTATTTGTTCTGTTAACAACTAGACAAAAACTGGAGTAATAGAGGCAATGAAATCGGCATCACTATGAGGATTAGCGAACGAAGGGAGGCAACATTAAATTCCCCATAGACTACAGATTGTTTAAGGATATTGATGGCCTCGAACAGGAATAAAGTTTAGATTTTTCGATTAAATGGCAACATTCGCGTGTAACGGCGAAATAACTAAGGGTCAGTTGGTATGTAATTGTAGTGTGCCCTTTTTACTACATGCAATCGCGTGACTGGCTTGAGCGCGGTCGCATACCTACTTTCCTAAGCTATTTATGAACTTTTATAAAGAATTGACATTAACGTACCGAAAACAACTTAGAATAAGTACAAAAATTACAAACTTTCCGTTTATTTGCAAGGTGACGAGAGTAGGATATAATCAATATTTATTCTGAACTTTAGTACATTCATTTGTTTTATTTTGTAAAAATCTTTATTCGCTTTTATCCCTACCAGAATTCATAAATAGAAGACAAGAACTTATACACTTCAAATTGCTAGTCTTTTGTATTTATGATACGAATAAACAAGACATAATATTTATAATTATAATTCATTTATGCCGTAATATATGCATTAGATATATGGATTGTAATTCAGTGTGACCGTTCAAACTTGAGGTCCTTTCAATCACGGCGTACCATTAATCGATTTTGCTCCTATGATCAAGGCAAACATGGAGAAGAAACAACTAAAAATTTACGAAATATATAAGACAGAAGGTTCACCAACTTCTCTAAAAGATAAAAATGCCCATAGAAACTGACGTAATCTAAGACCAAGATCCATATAGGGCAGAGGCAACTTGATTATTTATTATTATTACAGATTGTAGCTTGAAGTACCTCACCAATAGTAATCTTTATTAATCTACTTAAACCTTCCTTTATATGCCCATATGTAGCTAATAAATTTTCCCCTAAAATGACCCCTTCTAACTCTCTCACTTAGAGTTTCGCTGAGCTATCTTTTCCAAAATTTTCCAAATTTTATAATTTGCAAAAACTCGCTTTTTAAAATCACATATTTACTTTGTAATAATTCTGTTAGTAATAGTTATTAAGTATAACATGCTGTGTTTGCCTGTTAAATACAATTAGTTTTTATTGTTATTTTTGTGTGTAAGCTTTATTGTAATGCCCGTTGGAAAAACCATTTTAAACAAATAAATAATTATATTGGCCCATTTCGTGCTATGAATATCTTTAAACCATTACATTTACGGAAGTAAAATATTACAATGACTAAATAATGAGTCCAATACGTGCCTTAATTGCTTCTTTGTTGCCAAAATCGATACTTATCAATTGTAAAAGCCATCAGAAAATAACATAAAACTTTCTATATCGCTTCGCTTGTAAGAGGAAAAACTTTCTATATTTTCCTTCGTTAAATGAAAATACACTGCTTGGAAAAGATTCGGTATTAAGAAAGTTGTAAATCTAATAACGACAACCTCATGTTATATTCCAATAATTCCGGGATAGAGGACTTCACGAATCTATCACTTTTATTTGGTAGCAGATGTATTAAATGAGTATTTGTTCTGCTAACATAGTTGTTTGTATAAAATAGGTTGAAGATCATTTATGCGCATTTTATATTTGTATTAGTTATTCCATGTCGCACTTCTTGCGATTACCATATTCATCTAACAACAATAATAAGACATGGGGGACATAATTGCCTATACCAAAAATTAATCTGGAATTGTATAGGAAAACACCTTTTGTATGGCAATCAAGGTTTATAATAATTTACCAAAAATATTAAAAAATCTTCCTACTAGAGTTTTTAAAAATCGACTTAATGTGCTAATTTGGAAAAAATGTAATATTATATTAATGATTATATGCGTGAAACATTATAATTAATATTAATTTGATAACGTAATAATATTTAAATATAAGAATAGACTGTAATGATATTACTCATAATGTATGTAACTTCTATTTCAAATTCCTTTTAGAACATATTTGCACGCCATTATGAGTGGCAGAATATGCGAACTTTAGATTGTACCCATAATATTTTTGTACTATATTCTTGCAAATTAATTATTATTATTATTAATCTTAGGCAATATCTAAAAGATGTCTTATGCTCAAACCGAAACTACACTTCTTGTCCAACATTATTTAAATTATAGTAAGTGTTATGTAAAATTTATTACGTCAAGTACTTATAATCATAAGTGTGTCAAACGGAAAGACTAACTGCCCACGACATAGGGAATTCTAGTGTTGGGGTTATTGTACTTTCTCATTTTACTGCAAATCCTTTCAATCATGTCTATTTTTTTTCTTTCTTTCATTTGTTTTTATTCCTTATGAGTTGCGGCAAGAGATTATGAATGTTTTCTTTCTTCACTGCTACGTATTAAATGTAGAATCAGACTTACATATAGTTAGCAAAATAGGCTTACCGCTTAAAAGTGTTCCGGTACAGATGAAAAATAATTACTTGAATAGACGACCAAACAAACAAATTTAAAATATTAAAGATCCATGAACCACGATAATTTCTGTGAGGAGCACGATATAGACAAGGAATTCTTGTAATGTACGGATTAAAACTAGAATTTGCTTGTAGAATTGAGAACTTCCTATATAATAATATTTTACACTACGGCTACTATATTTTTTTTTCTTCATAAGATACTAACAAAATAGATGCATTCACTCACAGATCAAATAATTTTCTAGTACCAAATTTGATGCGTATAAATTATGTGACATATACAAAACAAAGGCCATTAATAACAAACAATTTCAGATAAAGTTGATAAACCATCATTTATAGCTTGGCCACACTTTTAAAACCATTATTACACTTACAAACAAATTAACAACACATGAATCAATTAAAAACGCATCAACATAGTTGCGAAAATAAATTGTAACGCGTATTTTCAATAAACAGTTGAACAGAAAGGGTCGGAATATATGCGGAGGTAAATTGACCCAAGTAATTTAAGCAATAATTTGGACTACGCGTATCCCGGGTCAAATATGTTTAATTCATGCAATTTACAGTATACGTATAAACAGATGCGTCTACATCGTTAAGGCGGTATTCGCTTCA